TAGCAAGAAGCTAGTAGGTTGGAGGCCATCGCTACTAGGGTGGAGGCTGCTCATATAGAGGTCTCGACATGAATGTTTGATCGTCTATGAAGGTTTTCTTTTTATGTTGGTCCATGCATGTTTTGTGTTGAGTCTAGAAACATCCTGACATCCGGTATCCCATCCCGCTGGCTGCTGAGGCCATGTCTGAGGTTCATGAACTCAAGGCGCAGGCAGCTGGTGGGTTTCACACAAAGGTCGATCATCGGATTGGTGAGGCTTTGTGAATTCTTGTTGCAGATGGATGGATACAGTATATTCAGCAAACAGTGCATCCGCAGTTTTCCTTCCTTCCTTCCTTCCTTCCTTCCTTCGTTCGCGCTCGCTCGCTCGCTCCGTTTTGGTATATATTGACTCTTGGGGGTCTTTTCCTGTGATCTTCCACGATCTTCCAAGTTTCCGAAGCTCCTTTTTTCTTGACAATGACCTTTCGACAAGGCTCGCTTCAACAGTCTGAAGATGGCGGAGGTCGAAAGTCAATGCAAGAGTGCTGAGGACTGGACGGCGGAAAGCTTGATGAGGGCCATAAGGAACCTAATAGCAATGGTCTCCAACCTTTTAGCGATGACATCCAACCTAAACCTAATAGCGATGGCCTCTAACCTAGCAGTGATGGCCTCCAACCTAATAGCGATGGCCTCCAACCTAATAGCTTTATGAGGGCCACAAGGTTCATGTGCTCATATGGCTGGTCTCAAAGTTGCAATCTCAGCGTGACCAGGAGACTCTAACACAGCCACGCATGAAGCCCGTCCATTGCCGGTTTTCTGGTTCTTCGACACAACCTGTGAAACGAGAAGCTGCTAATTGCAATCCGATAGCAATTTTGCAAATTCAATAATCAGCTATGACTGTTTTCCCTTGGCTTCAATTCCACCTCCAGCGGCTTCTCAGTCAAATGTGGCAGGAGAGACTGAATGCAGAACGAGGAAAGGTCGAACAGGCATGTCACGAAGCCCTGACGAAATCAATGTCTGTGTGGTTTCCAACACAGCGCCAAGACACTTTTTGCATCTTTTTGTACCACTGTGTTACTGTCCATGATAGAGCAGAGTGCAAGTTATATTTGTATGCTGGTGCAATGTATGCGCGTAGTGAGTGACCATTATTAGTTACATATGAGCATCCGGCAAAACTTCTGCACCTGTACTTTGGTCATGAGCCGCATTGTGTAATTATGTAAGAGTTTCTGAATTGGTCAAAACTTTGCAAGACCGATAGGGGCCAACCCTATAGCGATATCCTTTCTTGATTGAAACTAGCTTCTTGACTCCATTTCAAAACACTGGAACCAGATAGGGGCCAACCTAAAATAGTCTTGGGGGGGAGACCAAGAAGTCTTACCCGCCGCTCAAATGTATAAAAAATATGTTACGAAAGCCAGCCAATAGGCTAGGCTTGAGCTTTTAGAGCGAACGAAGTGAGGGACATTTTGAGAGGGTGAACCCAGAGCTTGGTGGGGGAGAGCGCTCCAAAGCGAGGGTCAGAAAAGCAGTGAACATGGGGTCTGGTGATGCGAGTGATGCAATGGACGCCAAGTAGTGCATCGTTAGCATCATGAACGGCTTTGGAGGCTATTTGGACAATGGGCATTGAGCAGTCGAGTGGAGACAGGGACCCACGTACTGAGCAGACCGCAGCCGCATGTAGGATACGAGTCCCCAAAACAGCCCGCAACTCGCGAAATCCATAGAGAGCCGAAAGTGGCATGAGTTCAAGTCCTTGAATTTGGATTGAGTTTCGGTGGGGATGCCTGCGAGGTTGACTACATATCTGCATAGGGCTCCTCCCCTAGCAAAAACTATACTTGCACCATGTCCTCGGTCGAGTGGATGCTTCTCGCGGCGCCCACGCGCACCGAACGTTTTTTCCGGCTTGCCGGTGCAGATAGATAGATAGATAGATAGATAGATACACAGATAGTCAGATAGATAGATACATAGATAGATAGATATAGAGATAGAGATAGAGATAGAGAGATAGAGAGATAGAGAGGTTGATAGACAGATAGACAGGTAGATAGATAGATTCTATATGCTACTGACGCATGACGTCGCCTTTTTTGCTGGCGGCCCTGGCCGAATCCAGTCAGCCTGGGTCCACGGCCAAAAGATCTGCACGCGCAGGCGCCAAAGTCAAGGCCTCTGAGTGAGAAAGGCGCAGGGTTGATAAGAAAGAGAAGAATAAAGAATGTGTTTGGATCGTTTATTAAAGGCCTCTTTGAAGGGAAAAGATTGTGTTTTGGATCGAGCCAGAACATGACTCACTCAAGTCCAGGCATGTGCATCGATATACTCACTCCTTTACTAGCCCAAGCTACTCCCGCTGGACCCCCCTTCTGCGCCGCGGGATCAAACGTCCGTGTCCCAGCTAAGACGTGCCCGTTCACTCTTCCAAATCAAAAAATGCCGCTTTTCGACGCGCCGCAGTATGCACTGAAAACTTCAAACACTCCAAATGTAAGAAACACATAATTGCTTCTTTTCAGTCGCGCGCCGTACTCGCGCGCGCACGGCGACGCCGACGATGGAGAAGGTCTTTCTGCGCGCGCGCGTGGTATCCCACCACTCAAACTCAGACGGTGTTTCCCTTCGCTAACGCTGATGTCGCCTTCCAACTTCCATAAGATGCATACCTTCCTGCGTGTGACAAACGCGTGCCATTGCCTTGTGATGATGACCTACACCAACCTACAACGTATCGCACTTCTCTTTCACTACTTCTTTCATACCAAACCGCCCGGTTTGCTTCTCTGCTCCCTCCATCACCATTACATACGCCCCCCCGCATCCGCGGCACCCCTGACTCGCAGAGCTCATGGCTTCAGACTTGGCCTCTCTGATGCTCATGGTGCAGCTCAGATGTCAGGCGAAGACTATGTTTGGGCCTCTGCGCGCTCCTCTTTTGCGGGGTCTCACCGTCCCCTCTTTTGCTGCGCTGGCGCTGGCCGGCCTTTGCCTGCTGCCTCATACTCCTTCCTGCTGGGTGCTGGGCGCGCTAGCCGCCCGAGCTTTTTTGGGCGCGTCCAAGCCATGGAACCTGCAACTGCTGGTGATGTCAACCGAACAAGGCAAAGAGCTACCCGGCCATTGCTGCCCAGAGGGTAGACCGATTTTGGAGGTCACCGACCGCTTGAGAGACCGCTATTGGGAAGTGTTTTTGTCCTGGCTTCGAAGTGAAATGATTGATCCCTGTATGTGGAGGAGATAAGCCACATCCTGACTCGCAACGGCAGAGCTGGCTGTTTATCGCTGGTCGCAACCTGTTGGTTGTGGGACTGAGTCCTGTTAGCTGGTGCACTTTGTTTGAGTTGGGCGAGCGCTCAGGAATTCCTTTCTGCATCAACGGCAGATCTTCTACAAGCTCGGGGTGCGGACGAAACCACCATTCTTGTAGTTTAGCTCTCTTGCAGGTGGTGGATCTTGCCTTGCTAAAGCGGCCGCTCATGAGAAGTTGTGGAGACAGTCGGGCCAGACTTTAAGGCAGAGGTTTCGCGATGTCTCGACCCGACCTGCTACGTGTTGGTGGCGCCGCATTGCGCCTACAGGTGACGGAGAATAGCAAATACATTATAAGCAAAGGACGTTGGTGGACTATCTTCAAGAGACTTCGGCGTTGCTCTTTTTGACTCGGGACAGAGTTTTGTAATTTCCTGGCTTGGTTCCACAGGTGCTCTGCTTGGCTTTTCGGTTTGAGCAATTGTCATTGAGTCATTGCGTGTGGCGATATCTCTACCAACAGGAAGAACTTGGGTCGAGCGGGAACTATGGGCATGTTGCAGCCAGTTGAACGAAGGCTGCCTGTGATCTGCCAGACAATGGAAAAGTCCGCGATGACGTTGAATAGTTGCACCTTAATTTAACTAGGACCTGAAACGCCGACTTCAAGCTTCTACCCAAAGACCCTCCCTCCCAACAACCTGTTGGTAGAGGGGCATGTTGTAGCCAGTTGAACGAAGGCTGCCTGTGATCTGCCAGAGGATGCAAAAGTCCGCCATGACGTTGAATAGTTATATACCTATACATGTACATATTGTACATACATATTCGGTGTATATCTTAAGTTTATATATATATATATATAATATTCACAGGGGAAAGCAAAAAACGTAGTTTTGTCAGGCCTAATAATATGTATTTCTTCGCCGTTTCCCATTGTGTGAGGCCCGCGCAGAGTGCGAGTCGTTGAAGACACAGGCAACGTTTATGCATTCTTTGAAGTTTCACTGGTGCCAGCAAGGAGGCTCTCAAGTCAGACGGAACAGTTGGATGCTAAAATCGGTTGTGTTTTTGGGCACTTTTTGACCTAGCTAAAAGAGTGCCCAAAGCCACGCTGCAGGCTCTTCTGCAGGACGAACTGTTCAGCTCGCCGGGGGCTTGGGGAGATCTGATACCTGCCGGACTGTTGGTCCCACACTGCTGAGCTGTTTGCTTTCAGCCACGTTCCATTTGGGGTTTCGGCACATGGGTGCATATCCAGGAAGCACCAACAGGTTCTATGCCAAAGCCTACAGCATCGCTTGAACTTCTTCATCTTCAGCCTTGCATGCTCTCGGAAAAGTGATTGAACAGATTCTGCTCTTTGGCAATCTGGTGCTAAGGACCTCTGGAGTCAAGGCCGGGCATGGTGCTATGTTGGGGAACTGGTTCGCGGAACGTGTTTGAACAAATGGAGATATGGGTTTTGTTCACTCCAATACATACCCAGGTTGAGACAGCAGGAGATTTGCAGAAAGTTTCTCCTTGACGATTTTGTTGTCAAGCGCCTTTATCCTTCAATGAATCCAGGCAGACACGGGAGCAGGCCTGTGTGGTGAGTGGATTTTTGCGTTTTGTCGAAGGGCTGGGTCACGCGTGTTGGAAGAACCAGGAAAGCGAACTAGGCAAGATTATACTCATGGATATCTCATCACACATGTCATCAATGTCGTGTAGGTCAAACTCATCGCCGATCTTTCCTTTCTAGTGAGGGGATTTGTTTGTTCTTTTCGTCTTGAGTGGTTGTTGCAGGCGGCGGAGCTGGGAACTCAGCAGTCCTGTTGTCGTGTCGCCTTGCAGGATCCAACCTGAGTTCAGGTTGGCTCGGCATAGCCCCTTTGCTGTGCCTAGATGTTATCATTTTCATCCATGATAGCAATTGTCCTTCCACTTTCTTCCTGGTTGGTGGTTTTGGAGGTATACCAAGTGGACGGTGTGGCATTTTTTTGGCTGCAGCTGAGACACAATATTGAAGATGTGCTTCAAGAACAATACCACGATTCTCGTACTATAAATGTTTGCTCACTCTGTCGGACTTCCATAAACTGGATATTCCGCAAGCATCCAAACGTAGCATCCAAAGAAAGCTGGGGGTTCACATGGGGGTAATTGGCAGAATGTGGCAGTTAACTAGTAGCAAGAAGCTAGTAGGTTGGAGGCCATCGCTACTAGCGGCAAGAAGCTTGAGATTGGAAACAAGACGACACACCAACGGGAACTCGGGCAGACTGCCCGGACGGCCTGATGGATGGGCAACGGTTTGAAGCCTCGGGTTCGGAAGCTGCCTCTAGAGGAACACTGACTTGGATTCTTTCTTAGTGTTTTGCCAAAACCTAACACACAAAGACACCATTGGCAAAAAGGGAGGATGACCATCCTTAGCTGCTACATGCCTTTTTGCAGCAATAGTCAGAAGCCGCAGCGCTCTTGATCGAGTTAGCAGAAGATGTTCTTTCATGTTCTTGCTTCATTTGCAGCAGTACATCCAGGAGCATGGACTCCGTCGAAATCAGCCAGTCTTTGCTCGACGCCATCGACCGTTCGGGACTCAGAGTTTGAACTTGTTACTAGCAGCGATGCCAGGAGCCCCTAGTAGCTTCTTGTTACTAGTAGC